TCCTGGCGCGGTTTGGGGTCCACTTGAGAGCCTTTGGGGGGCTCCTTGGAACCATCTTGGGGCCTCTTGGGGGCTTATTGGACCCTCACGGCGGACTCTTGGGGCCTCTAGAACGCCTCCTGGGGCCATCTTGGGGGTCTCTTGGAGCCACCTTGGAGCCTCTCTGGAACCTCTTGGGGGCCTCTTGGAGTCCTCTTGAAGCCTCTTGGGACCATCTTGGGCGCCTCTTTGGGCCTCATGGACGCCTCTTGGGGCCATCTTGCGCGCCTGTTGGGGCCATCTTGGGTTTTAAAGATTCATCAAGAGACCGCGAATGGATTTCGAGATTTTTCGGATGAGAAAGTAGTGCGTTTTCATATGTTTTCTGAACATCGCATCTTGAAATTATTGAAAACCCATTGTGTTTGGCAGGATTTCGACATGCGCGCGCGGCGGCCGCGCGCATGTGCACTTCGTCTCATTTTTTGCAAGGGATGGTGGCCCTCGCAGGCGCGCAACCGTTGTTGGAGAAGTTCAAAGCACCTGAAGAAGTAGCACGCAAAGACCCTTTTGACGGAAATGTTTAAAAAGTGGTGTGTTTCCTATGAATCCGCAAGAGCGCGCGGAAGGACATTTTGACAATTTTTTCTTAAAAAACCATTGGGTTTTTGATGTTTTTATGTTAAAATCGTTACGAAACCTAAGGTTTTGGAAGGATTTCGTCTTGCGCGCACGAATGTCCACTTTACCTTTTTTTTTGCAAGGGATTCTTGCAATTTGATCAAGTAAGAACAAGAATTTTCATTTTCTTCTATTGTTTTTTGCAAGGGAAAACGAGCGTCAACAAAAAACCGGATCCGGGGGTAATCCACTTTTCTGAAGCTTTCGCAGAAAAATGATGAAAATGTAGCTGCGGCCTAGGTTTTGGCGGGGGGCGTGCACCAGGGGGTCCAACAATAATAATCTTTAGAAGTAATAGTGTTCAACAACAACAACACACCAACAACACAACAACAGCAACAACAACAACAACACAACAACAATTACTAGCACGTGGGGACACTCCGTTCTCACCAGTGCCAGGGTTTTCCATAGGAGGCGGGCAATACCCCCACTTTGTGGGGGGGCCGGTTCAAGCTCTACCAAATTTCCAAACGACTCTTCGCCACCACCCACACCCAGCTTCCCGCCTATGACGTTCGGACACTTCACTTCGTGGCATGCGGACGACCGTGGCTACTATTCAGGGCCCCGCGGCCGACGACGACGGCGTGCGCGCGCGAAGAAAAAACGAATGTGTCCCGCATGGTATTATTTGACAGGGATGATGGCCCTGGCAGGTGCGCAACCGTTGTCGCAGAAGTTCGAAAAAGTTGCTCGCAAAAGCCCGTTTGACAGAAATGTTTAAAAAGTGTTGGGTTTCCTACGAATCCGCAAGAGCGCGCGGGATGAGATTTTGACATTTTTTTGTTGAAAAACCATTGGTTTTTTGATGTTTTTATGTTAAAATCGCTCCGAACACTAAGCTTTTGGAAGGATTTCGTCTTGCGCGCGCGAATGTCCACTTTACCTTATTTTTTGCAAGGGATTCTTGAAATTTGATTATATTAGAACAAGAAATGTCATTTTATAGTGTTTTTTTTTTTGCAAGGGAAAACGGATTACAACAAAACAGCCGGATCTGGATCACATCGTTTTACGTGAGGCTTCCTCACGAAAATGATGAAAATGTAGCTGCGGCCTAGGCGGCGCAGGGGGGGCGCGCACCAGGGGGCCCAACAATAATTATTCTTTAGAATAATAATGTTCAACAACAACAACAACAACAACAACAACAACAATCATTTAGTGGGGACACTCCGTTCTCACCAGTGCCAGGGTTTTCATAGGAGGCGGGCAATACCCCCACTTTGTGGGGGGGCCGGTTCAAGCTCTACCAAATTTCCAAACGACTCTTCGCCACCACCCACACCCAGCTTCCCGCCCTATGACGTTCGGACACTTCACTTCGTGGCATGCGGACGACCGTGGCTACTATTCAGGGCCCCGCGGCCGACGACGACGGCGTGCGCGCGCGAAGAAAAAACGAATGTGTCCCGCATGGTATTATTTGACAGGGATGATGGCCCTGGCAGGTGCGCAACCGTTGTTGCAGAAGTTCGAAAAAAAGTTGCTCGCAAAAGCCCGTTTGACAGAAATGTTTAAAAAGTGTTGGGTTTCCTACGAATCCGCAAGAGCGCGCGGGATGAGATTTTGACATTTTTTTGTTGAAAAACCATTGGTTTTTTTTTTTTATGTTTAAAATCGCTCGAACACTAAGGTTTTGGAAGGATTTCGTCTTGCGCGCGCGAATGTCCACTTTACCTTATTTTTTGCAAGGGATTCTTGAAATTTGATTATATTAGAACAAGAAATGTCATTTATAGTGTTTTTTGCAAGGGAAAACGGATTACAACAAAACAACCGCCGATCTGGATCACATCGTTTTACGTGAGGCTTCCTCACGAAAATGATGAAAATTAGCTGCGGCCTAGGCGGCGCAGGGGGGGGGCGTGCACCAGGGGGCCCAACAATAATTATTCTTTAGAATAAATAATGTTCAACAACAACAACAACAACATCAGCAGCAACAGCAACAACAACAACAACACCAACAACAACAACAACACCAACAACAGCAACAACAACAACGCTACCGCTCGAGACTTCCTCTTTTTTACTCAGAGCTGGTGTTCTTGCTCGCCGCCGAAAGCCGCCGTCCTAACAAAACCAGCGCTCCCTCTCGAGACTTCCTTCCGTTTTACCTTGGACTAGCGCGGTAGTCTTTCTCTCGTCGGCGCCGCCCCCGGCAAAAACAACGCTCCCGCTCGAGTTTTTTTTTCTCACTCAAAGCGGTACTCTTCCTCGCCGACGAAAGCCGCCGCCCCGACACAACCAGCGCTCCCGCCCGAGAAGTCCTTCCGTTTTACGCTGGGTTGGCGCCCTTCTCTCTTTTGAATTGGCGCCGCACCCAGCAAGAACAACGCTCCCGGTTGAGGCTTCGCCCCTTTTTCCTGAAGACGGTGCTGTTCCTCGCCGCCGACAACCCCAGTCCCGACAGAACCAGGGCTCCCGCTCGATGCTTCCTCCCTTTCTTACTCAAGGCGGTGTTCCTCCTCGCCGCTGAAAGCCGCCGCCCCGACAAGACCAGCGCTCCCGCCCGAGACTTCATTCCGTTTTACGCTGGTCTGGGGCCCTATTGTTTTTTGAATTGGCGCCGCTCCCAGCAAGAACAACGCTCCCGCTCGATATATTTTTTTTTGTTGCCTCGGGACGGTACTGTTCCTCGCCGCCGACAGCCCCCGTCCCGACAAAACCACGGCTCCCGCTCGATGCTTCTTCCCTTTCTTACTCAAGGCGGTGTTCCTCCTCGCCGCTGAAAGCCGCCGTCCCAACAAACCAGCGTTCCCGTTCGAGACTTCGTTTTGTTTTACGCTGGACTGGCGCCCAACTCTCTTCAGCATTGGCGCCGCTCCCAGCAACAACAGCAGTCCTGCTCGAGACTTCCCCCCTTTCTATTCAGTGCCAGGTCCTTGCCCCACCGCCGACAGCCCCCATCCCCACCAAGGCAATCCTGTCGTTCGATACTTTCTTGTGCTTTACCCTTCGCTGGGGTTCCACTGGCGGTCTCGCATCGGCTCAGCAAGGCACGGGCATGTGTTTTCGAGGCGGGATATGTTGAAATTCCTCGGAGGAGGTGTTTGCTGGACCTCATTGGGCGGGAGATCTGGGAATGGGAATAACGGACCCCGCTATAGAACAAGAGTCCCCCATGATGTGGATGGTTATCATGATGGTCGCATGCTTTGTGTGGAAACATCGCGCATGAGGGTAAACTTATTATTTTCATTGTTGTTGTTGGTGTGTTTTTTTGTTGTTGTTTATTTTTTATTCTAAAAAAGAGTTGTTGTTTTGCTGTGTCTTGTTTGTTTGTGTTTGTGTGTGTGTGTGTCGCTGCGGCCTGGCAGCTGCCACGGTCCCCGCAGATTAGGCCGGCCGCGCCAGCGCGTTCAGGTCGGAAGTCTTCGTCCTCTGAGTGCCCCCTCCTCCCTCCTCCTCCGCGGCCGCCCCGTCTGTCTCACTCTCCTCTCCTGCACGCTGGGCAGTTCGCTTCTCGGTGTCCCCGTTTAGCGCTATCGCTGGTGCAGCCATTCTGCACCGCCGCCGACGAAACAAGAGTGTGTGTGTGTGTGTGTGTGTGTGTGTGCGTGTGTTTGTTTGTTTGTTTGTTTGTTTGTTTGTTTGTTCGTTCGTTCGTTCGTTCGTTCGTTTGTTTGTTTGTTTTTTTCAATCGTTCATTTTTGTTTTTTTGGCGTGTTCGGTGTTTTTTGGGCCCCCAGAGGCTTCTGGAGGCCTCTGGGGACTTCCGGGGACTTCCAGATATCTCCAGAAACCGGGTTCCCGGAGATTGGGCGGTGCTGGTCAGTTCCCCTTCTCCCTCCAGGCAGTCCAGTGGTCTGAGCTCGCTGACGCGGTTTCCGCCGAGAGCTTGCTCCTCATACGTAGGTGTCGAGCGAAGGGAACAAGAAGAGGCTTGGGCAGGAGAAGGATGACGAGGAAGAGGAGCATGATGAGCAGGATGAGGAGGGGGAGGGACCTCACATGTCTGCTGACCCATTCGCTCCCAGGGGTTCCTGGGAGCCCCAGGGGGCGCCCAAAGAGCCGAAGGCGTCCACAATCTCGCTCCTCGAACCTCGATCTTCGATCGAGAGTCCCAGACGGGTCGGCGGATAGAGGGTCGACGAGGACGAGGGGGAGGAGCATGAGGGGCATGACGAGGGAGGAGGGTGAAGATGTTCGATGGCGCGCAGAGGGAGGCCGCAAGAGGGATTCGGCCTTTACGAAGGCACAGAGGGTTCCTTTTAAGAAACCCTCTGGGCCTCTCAGAGGCCTTCTCGGAAGCCCCTAGCGCCCTTCTGAGAGGTCCCCTGCCTTCTTGCACGGCCGCCCCTCTTCTCGCCCCAGCAGCAGCCCCTGGAGGCCGTCGAGGCATGGGGGAAGTCCTCCCGATCCCGCTCGCGTCTGCGGGTCGCCGACCCGCTCGTCTGGCTGGTCTAGAGCAGCATCCGCTGAAGTTGCTTGCGTTCAATGGGCGAGTCGAGACCGAGGAGCTCAGGGTCCACCGCGAGGCGGCGGGAGAAACGCACGAGACTCAGCTGGTCGTTGGGCACCACGGCTCGAGCCGAAGCGCAGGTGCGCGAAAGGTTGAACGCAGGTGGCGGCCTGGATTCAGCAAATATCGAACGCTCTGCGCCATCCGAAAGCTGCGGTCGTGCAAGATTGAACGAGCCAGTCGGTGTCAAAGACCAGCGCCGTTGTCATCGCGACGTGGCTCCTCCCTCTGCCTCGCATTCGCCCTCGTCGTGCTCCTCCGACAGGTGCTCTTCCCTGCTCTCGGGCACGTTCGGGCAGGTCTGCGGGCTCAAGGCCGCCAGCGCCGTCGCGGCGTGGACCTGCCCGAATCTCACGCGCCTGGTGAACTCTAAGAGGGGACTGCGGGCAGACCACAGCTCCAGAGTGCGCCGTGGTCGGTGCCGAGCGGCGACGCTGCGGCGCAGCTGCCCGTTGCCGTCGGGCAGGGCCAGGCCGACCGGAAGTGTCTCCTGGCCCCGGCCTTGGCAGTGGAGTCTTGGGCGGCTGCGCGATGCGGAAAAGAATGAGAGATGGAGCAGGTGGAAGAGGGAGGAGGAGAGATGGACGTGGAGGAGGGAGCAGGGGGCAGGAAGGAGGAGACAGGACAGAGGAGAGAGGAGAGATGAAGGGAGGACAAGCCAGGTGCGCTCGCGCCATGTTTCTCTCTGAGTCATGAGACCTGGGCTCTGGCTGCCGAGACACTGGGCGTCGAGACCTTTGCCCCTGCCCCAGAACCTGGCAACTGAGGCCCCACAAACCTTACAGAAGAGCATATGCAGGCCTTCTTCTACGGCCACTCCATGTTGGATCTGCTAAACAGGGGCTTCCACAACAGAGTGACCATTGAAACTCCAAGGGGTCCCACCGAACTCGACAAGATCGGGCACACGGACCACGTCTGAGGTGTCAGCTATGCCCCCAGAGCCGACAGATTCAGCAGCCCCAGAGGCAGCCTGCGCATGTGCATGCCAGCCACAGGCTACCAAAGCCGGAGTCTCGATCCCCTCTACGAACAGCACATGTTGGGGGGGGCACAGCCCAGAGCTTCGCGCCCTTCTTGGCCCAGATGTCAGCCAGACGTTACCCCAAAAACACCAGTCCTCGAAGTCATCCGACGCCGACTATACGGCAACATGGGCTCCGACTTTTTGGACTTGGGCGCGGCTCCCGATGCCGTCCCATCAGGATTCAATTCCAGGATCCGACGCAGCGCTGATAGAGCCAATCAAGTCAGTAAACCGCGAGAGGGTCCTCCGAATTCCATTCCGAGACCTGGGAACGTGAAACGCGCAGTCCTCTCCATCCCGCGCCGTTCGCGTTGGGGCCAGGTGTGGAGGAACAGCTCCGTAGACAGCCTCTTGAAGCTGGCCTGCTCTGTCAACCTGTGCTATGGGCCAGCCCGCTCGACTGAGGCCTGAAAGAGAGCACGAAGGCAGCTCCAGAAAACCTCCAGCTCACCGGCACTCCAACCCATCTCCGAAGATGCTCAGGCTGAGGCATGGCCTTGGGGAAGGAGCGAGAGGTGCTAGGGAAGAGGCAGCGACAAAAGAGCTCCTCACGTAACTCTCCACATTTGTCCCTGACTCTTCTAGCAGCCTCGTGAACGAACGTGGGCCACTCTTCCCTCCTGAGCTGGGCCAGGCAGGGACATTCACAGGATCGGTGAAACAGCATTTCTCTGGCTCAGAGGCAACCTTCGTCATCCGTACTACTACCATGATCGAACACACGTTTTTGAGGGCAGTCACTGCCACCCACCAGGGACCTCAGCACATATTGTAGTGGCCTTCGGCCAGTGCCGCCGATCCGGGTCGCTCGGTGTTATTCTCCAGACGCAGACATTATGGGCGCACACTCAAACGCACACACACAGTCACACCACCTAATTCGCGCCGCAGACATGCACACACACCACCACCCACACACACACACACATACCAGTTAGGAAACGCACGCGCGCGCACGCCGAGCGGATACACACATTACGCGGACACCTCACGCACGCACACGACCAAATGCACACACGGCAGACACACATACAGAGACACACTAGGCGCACGCCAGACACTAGCACGTACAGACATTCGCAGACACGCACCACACACAGACACTCGCACAGCAGCACACACCTGAACTCGCTTGGGCGTCGCGTGTGATGGGGTAGGTGGTGTGTGTGTGTGTGTGTGTGTGTGTGTGTGTGTGTGTGTGCGAAGCGTACGTCTTGCACGGAGTCTTGTTACGAAACATGTGGCCTGGACGATGTGGTGCGAGCGGTGGAGGCGAGCCTATCGGCGCAAGGACGCCCTCTTGGGGCGTTTTTTGAGCCATCTTGGGAGCCTGTCAGGGCGTCGTGGGGGCTTCTTGGGGGCTTTTGGGGGCCCTCTTGGGGGCTCTTGGGGCCTCCTGGGGGCCTCGTGGGCTGAAAGGCTAGATTTTTTTGTGCTTTTCGTCCCTCTTTTGGGTCCTCTTGGGGCCGTCTTGGGGGCCTCTTGGGCCGTCTTGGGCGGCTCTTGGGCCGCCTTGGGGCCCTCTTGGGCCGTCTTGGGACTGTCTGGGGGCCTCCTGGGCCGTCTTCGAGCGGTCTTGGGGGCCTCTTGGGCCGTCTTGGAGCGTCGGAAAGCGAAAAAAGCGACCACCCCAAAAACTTTCAAAAAACCAATGGAAATCAATGATTTTTGCCTCTGGGGGCCCTCGTGTGTGGCCTCTTGGAGGCCTCTTTAGACGTCTTGGAAGGCTCTGGGGCCGTCTTGGGGCCATCTTGGGCGTGTTCGGGCGATCTTTCGGGGTCTCGGGACTTTCTTAGATCGTCCTCAGAGACTTTTGCGGCCGCGGCCACCCTTTCAGCGCACCCTCGAGATTAGAGCCTTCTGTAAAAGCAGCGCCCCGCGATCGCCAGAAAACTCGTACCCCCCCCCCACCCCCCCCCCTTCCCCGGCAGAGCCACCCGGGCAATCCCCCCAGAGGCTGAGGCTCAGCCTCGAGGCTGTAGCTGAGACCCCTTGAAACTCACACGCCGGATCGGCGGATTTGTGGTGGGGCGTTCAGGTATCCGACAGGGCCTTGCCAAGAAGCTTGCGCAAGGGGCCCCAATGCAGGGGTGCCGTCCAGGCACCAGTAGTATGTCTCAGGGCATGCAAGTCAGAGGTATCCAGGGAGGCCTCCCGGACACGCTCACAACAAAATCCAGAAGAAAATTCCAGAACGGAGTATTCTTCATCCTGGACCACAGGAGACGGTCGTCGGCATGCTGATGCCGACGCGGGCCAAACACAGTAAAATGGCTTCTGCAGGGTCAGCACATTGGGCCCAGGGACGGGGCCGGAAACGAAGGGAGCGACCAGCGCACCAGCCGGCTTCCAAAGACCCCCTGTCCAGGGAGGGCCGACGTGGCCGCGAGGACCCAGTGTTGCATGACCTCCACAGAACGAGCCACCAACGGATCCCTAATATGCCCTTCCAGGGGTAGCGCGAAGTCTAAGACCAGCAGAGGTGGCAGCACGGAGGCGACCTTTAAGCTCTGAGGCAGACGCTCGCAAGCCATGCAACTTCTGGTCCGACACCCCCGTCACAGCCGAGCCCCAAGTCGCCGCAGCCGTGGGCGAGCCCCTCATGGTAGTGCTGACCTGCGCGCCAGCCTCTCTTCTTGGAAAAACCTTGCTGGCACCACGGCGAGCTTTCTCGAGGTGCTTGTTCTGCTCCCCGACCAGCCGAGCGGGCCCGTCGTTCGAGTCCGTGCCTAGGTTGCGTGCTCTTACCAGACGGCCCTCCTCCTTAAGGCTCCATCTGACCGAGAGACAGTCTGTGAGCTGCCTACGGCTACACAAAAGAAACCAGTCTTGTACCAGTTGACTTTGGGACGCTTCGCTTCCAGGCCCTGGACCAGCGCCATCATGGCGTCAGGAAGCTGATTAACCACAAGCGCCAGGGACCCCACGGCCTGGAGTAAAGAAAGAAACATCCACAATATTCTGGAACCGAGCAAGAGGAAAACGCTTCTGAAACTTCATGAGCAGCGTATGCGCAAGCACATTGGCCAACGCCAAAGCATAACTGCAGCCCGCTGTCACGGTCCCGTTGGCAGCATCGGGTAGCGAGACCGCCCCCTCCCAGACTGCACGCCGAGGAATCCTATACGCCACGCAACGACACTGCAGCAGAGCTAGATGAAACCCTGTGGCGACAGCCTCCTGCTTAAGCCCCTGATGAGAATTGTATTCGTAGTATTCACTGAGGTCCAGCGCGCCACTAGTGGCACTGAACCCTGTGAGACGTGCAAAGCGCTGCAGTATATTATGAACGTGCCCTGACCTATCACAAGTGAACCCTGAGTCTCCCCAGAAGGCTGGGTTGGCAAGCGAACGTTTCCACCGTCGGGCAATGGGTTGCCTGAGTCTAGACCAGACGCGACTCCTGAGAGAGTAGAGCACAATGGGACGGACTCCGCCCGCAGGCTTATTAGTAAAGAGAACTAGGAGCAGCCACAAGTCCTGGCTTAGCGGCCGTCTTTTCCAGGCATGCAACATATCCCATAACTCCTGTCTGCAGCACTGGGGAATTCAGAGGAGCTGCCTCGGGTGAAGCTTTGTCCCAGCCTGGTCCAGTAGACGAAGAGTAGGTCCCAAGAACTTGTCGAGCTGCTCTAGAGTAAGAGGAAGTAAGGGCTCCAGGGGATCAGGGGAGCAGAAGGAGGAGGAGGAGGAGGAGGAGGAGGAGGAGGAGGAGGAGAAGGATGAGGAGGAGGAGGATGAACAGGACCAGTGTAAACCCAGGACCCATCAAGGATGTTGGAATCAGCCCTCCTTCCAAGCCGCCCTCTTCATAGGCCCCTGCAAGGAATCATTTCCACTGAGAGACGTGCCCCGTTGTGAGATAACCATTCGAAAGTCCCGAAGCGTGCCAAATCAGTATCCTCGGGACTCCAACGCCACGCATCAATTTGATTGTTGAGTTTTGACGATCCTCAATCGTGTCAGAACACCATTCCTGGGACTTCAACACCGAGAACCAACGTAACTGTTGCGCCCTGACGGTCCTGCATCGTTCCAAAACACCATTTCTGTTTTGTTGACCAGGGGAGCCCGTTGAATTTTTGCAAATGTTTAAACGAGTTCGCGCGGCGCTGAGGCGAGAGCCCTATTTTGAAAAGGAACCACCCTCAACCCGTGACGCTCTTACAATCTTGTATGACGAATGTGCGCGCGCGGTGGCGAGAGCCACATTTTGAAAATGACCCGCCCTCAACCCATGAAGCTCTTACACATTTCTGAGACGAATGTTCGCGGCGCTAATGCGAGAGCAATATTTTGAAAACGACCCGCCTTCCATCCGTGCAACGATTATGAACTTTAAGCTTCATGATCATATTTTGTAAGGAAGTCTCAGGCGAAACGCCCAGCCCGCCCTTTCGACCGGCCTCCGGGTGCGACAGGGAGGGTTTATTTGTAAAGAAATGGAATGGAGGAGGAAAAGGAATGGACGAGGAGGAGGAGGAGGAGGAGGAGGAGGAGGAGGAGGAGGAGGAGGAGGGCGACGTCAGCGAGCAGAAGAGCACGGAGCGCCCGCCAGGGCGGCCAGTGGCTCCAGGCGCGGCGCCGCCCGTGCTCGCTCCTCCCCGCGCTGTGCGGGGGTCGCCCTCTGGGGCTGACAGCAGGGGCAGGGGGGGGCCCAGCGGGCAGCGACAGGCAGACACGCTTCCCCTCTCCCCCGCCCCCCCCCCCGCCCCCCCTCCCCCGCTGGACTCAGGCGATCGCAACCATGGATCAAGGGGGCGTGGATTAGCGACGGGTCCCGTTTCCATGGGAAATCGCGGATTCCCGCCGCTGAGCGAGGCGGCACCGGCCGCATTTTGGGGAGGGCACTTCCCCCGATCCATGGATTTGGCGACCGCGCGCCAGATCCATGGATCGCTAATCTATGTTTGCGCGCCCCCGAGCAACACCGCCGCTAGCTGGCAGCGTACTGGGCGTTCTCTCGTTGTGCTGGCCGTCCTGGGTCTGGGGGCCACGTGTGTCCGACCCCGTCTCCCCGCCCTCCGCTGACCCAGGGTTGGGAGCTATTCCAGGGGGGGCCCGGGGGTCACGACGTGGCCTCGGCTGACCTGGGGTGGCGCTGACCCAGGTCAGCGCGTCCCCGACTCTTTTTTGGGGGTTTGGGGGGCAGGCGGACTGAAGCCCAGACCTCGGACGCCTTGAAACAAAGCTTATCCTGGCGAAGGACCCAACCATATGCAGTTGTGAGCACCGCAATTGTGAAGATCATCTTCGGCTCCCTATGGGGCCACGAACCTCGTGAGGAGCGTGCCCAGACGTGTCGGCGGCGAGGCGACGGCCCCCCAGTCCTCCGACGCTCCCGCCCCCCCCGCCTGCGGAACCCCCATGGCCCTCGACCCCAGACGACGACGACGACGACGACGACGACGACCACGGCGGCGACGGCGATGGCGATGGCGACGGCGACGGCGACGGCGACGGCGACGACGACGACGACGACGACGGCGACAACGGGGACGACGACGACGACGACGGCAGCGCCAAGGACGACGGCGACGACGACGACGTCATCGTCAAGCCCGTCGCTCTCTCGGAGCGGGGCCCCTGGGACCGTCAGCACTCAACCGATGACGAAACAGGGGCCCTAGTGAAGCTGTCGGGACCACTGAGAGCCACCAGGGACCCCGTATTGAAAGAATCACGACAGCGGATCCCTGGAGCCTTCGGCAAGGGTCCCTCTAGGGCGATGGGGCCACAAACGAAACGTGTGAGCGGTGTGCCGAAATGAGTGTGGCGGACGCATGTGGACGGTGCCACTGGGGCCTTGGGTGGAGCTCCCTATAGGGCCACGAGGCGTGTGAGGGGTGTGCCGAAATTGGTGTGGCGGACACATGCCGACGGTGGCAGTGGGGCCTTCGATGCTCCCTATGGGGCCGAGAAGCGTGTGCGGGGTATACCGAAATGGGCGTGGCGGACGCATGTGGACGGTGCCACTGGGGCAGTCGGTGGAGCTCCCCATGGGGTCACGAAACGTGTCAGGGGTGTGCCGAAGTTGGTGTGGCCGACGAATGTGGACGGTGGCCGAGGGGCTTTCGGTGGAGCTCCCTGCGAGGCCACGAAACGTGTGAGGGTGTGCCGACATGAGTGTGGCGGACGCATGTGGACGGTTGCAGTGGGGCCTTCGGTGGAGCTTCTTATGGGGCCACGAAGCGTGTGGGGGGAGTGTAAAGCTGGGTGCGGCGGACGTATGTGGACGGTGTCACCAGGTCCTTGGGTGGAGATCCCTGTGGGGCCACGAAACGTGTGAGGGGTGTACCGAAATTGGTGTGGCGGACGCGTGTGGACGGTGTCACCAGGTCCTTGGGTGGAGCTCCCTATAGGGCCACTAAGCGTGTGAGGGGTGTGCCGAAATTGGTGTGTCTGCAGCCAGGGGCCGTGGGCCACGGAGACCATCACCAGAAAACGGTCTGAGTTGAAACACCGGTCCCTGGTCTCCAGGAAAGGGTAGAGAGCTCTGGGGCCCGCGTGTCGAACAACTCACCACAGCGGAGGCCTGGGAGTGCGATCTCACCCGTGCCTCCGGAACTTCACGCCAGCGACCCCCCCCCCCCGAGGCCGTCCAGCGCGAGATCGCCAGGCAGCGAAGTCCAAGCCGATCTCGAGCCAGCGATCACCCGATCTCGTGGTCATCCTGCATTCAGGCAGGCCTGGGAAGACGGTACATCGCTGCCAGAGCGTTCTGGAACGCTCTAGGAGCGTCTGGAAGGCTCTGGAACCGAGAGCTCCCAGATCCGCCAGCTCAGAGGTTCCCGATTCATCAAATCCCGAATTCGTCTTCTTTTGTACTACGTACCACCATTCTGCTCCCTCACGCTCATCCTGCTGCTGATCCTGCTGCTCCTCCTACCTATGCCAAGACGTTGCGATTCGCAGTGGCAGCAGCTGGCGGGAGGGACGAAGCAGTGCGGTGACCGTGGACGGATGAGTGCACGCCGTGGTCGTGGCAGGTAGGTACTTACACGGGCGGAGATGGTGCGGGGAGGGGGGGCAGGAAGGAAGGAGGGGGGGACGTGAGGGAAGAAGACTCGCTCCGCTCCCGGCGGCCTGCTTTTCCAAGCCTCGATCGATCGGCCCAGCGGTTGATGGAAGTCTGAGAGTCTCTCTTCTCGTCCAGGGACGCTTGGGATGTAGAAATCTCTTTTCCAACGGTGTCCAGTCGCTTCCTGCAGGCTTTCTGTCAATGTGCGTTGTGCAGTATGCTTTTCGTCTTCCCAAGCTTCAGCAGCGCTTGCTGAGTTTCCCCCCTCTCCGCAGAAGAAATCCATACCACCACCACCATGCCTGGCCCTGGCGAGGCATGGTGGTGCTGCATAGGCGCCTGCTGCGTATCTTTATCTTTGTCGCTGTCGTCGCCTGTCTCCTGGAGGAACACAAGCCCACCGAGCGTTCCGAGACGCACTCTCGAAGGTGGCCGGCGAGACCGCCCAGCCTGCCCTGGCGCTCGTCGGCGCTCAATACCTGTTGTGTTGTTGTTCTGTTTGTGTTTTGTTCTCCAACTAGGCTTGCCCTGTAGGAGTTCTAACTCATTCTCTACTAATTGGTCCGTTGCCCCCCCTAATTCCTATGCCCTCCCCCTAATTCCTATGGCTATGCCTATGCCTACGTCTATGCCTATGCCTCCCTCTAACTCCTATGCCTATACCTACGCCTATGCCTATGCCTATGCCTCCCACCTAACTCTTATGCCTACGCCTATACCAACGCCTATGCCTATGCCTATGCCTCCCCCCTAACTCCTATGCCTATGCCTATGCCTATGCCTATGCCTATTCCTATGCCTATGCCTGTGCCTAGGCCTATGCCTATGCCTATGCCTACGCACCACCTCTGAGCGCTCCTATGCCTATGCCTATGCCTATGCCTATGCCTATGCCCATGCCTATACCTATGCCTATGCCTATGCCTATGCCTATGCCTATGCCTATGCCTATCCTATGCCTATTCCTATGCCTATGCCTATGCCTATGTCTATGCCTATTCCTATGCCTATGCCTGTGCCTAGGCCTATGCCTATGCCTATGCCTACGCACCACCTCTGAGCGCTCCTATGCCTATGCCTATGCCTATGCCTATGCCCATGCCTATACCTATGCCTATGCCTATGCCTATGCCTATGCCTATGCCTATCCTATGCCTATTCCTATGCCTATGCCTATGCCTATGTCTATGCCTATGCCTATGCCTATGCCTATGCCTATGCCTATGCACCACCTTTGAGAGCTGCTCCAACTGCTTGCTTGCTTGCTTGCTTGCTTGCTTGCTTGCTTGCTCGCTTGCTTGCTTGCTTGCTTGCTTGCTTGTTTGCTGAGTTGCGGATTCCAAGCAGGCTTGATTCATCGGATTCCTTGATTTAAATTTTCTAATTTATTTTGAGTCAACGCTGGCTGATTTTCTTCCGTTTCCTCTCCCTTTTCTTTGTGCTCGTACGGCGAGGGGTCGGTGTTGGTCCCTCCGTCTTCGCACGCCCGCACGAGCGGCGAGCCTGCGGCTCATACGGTGGGGAGGCGGCGTTGGTCCCTTCGTCTCCGTACGCCCGCGCGGCGTGGATGTCGTGTTTGGCCGCTCGACGCTTCTCACCGTCCGTGCGCGCTTGGCGGCGCTGGGCTCGCGACGGTCCCTCTCTCTGTGTGGGTGGCCCCGACTCGCCTCCCTCTCCTCGGGGGAGGGCGAGTTGAGAGCGGCAGCTGGCCCTCGAGGGGCCCCCGTGCCGCAACGGCCGGAAGCAGCTCGGAAAATTTGTGCACCCGGACCCCTGAGAGCGACGGCGGGACCCATCTTGAGCTGCCGCTGTCTCAGTCCGGCCTGCTCCAACTCTCCCGCCCCGTCCGACGAGAGTGCGCCCGCCGCGCGCCGGCCGGCCGCGGTGGGCCTGCCCGCAGTGTGCGGGCGCGACGCCCAGGGCCCTCTCCGTCCCCGCCTGCCCGCGCGAGCGGCGAGCGGGACGAGCGGGCGGTGCTCGGCCTGGTTCGGAGCTGCCGGGGGTCGCCGCCAGAGCCCCCGGTGGGGGGGGGGCTCTTCTCCCTTCCGGCGGGAGGGTAGGAGGGCGCCAGCTGTACACCTGCGCCGATCCTGGCCAGGCCGACCCTGGGTCCACGAGCGGTGTATACGCCCTCCTGTCAGGGCCAAGGATGGCCGCGGCCAGGTATGGTGGTGGTGTGTTGTGAGGCGCTTTCTGCGGATCCTCCCCCACTCGCCCCTCCAGTGAGCTGCCGCAGATGCGCGACAGCGTTGCATGCTTTTCTCGTCCCTCTATGACGCTCGTGCTCTTGAGCTCGAGCCCAGTTCTTCAGGGAGCCTCGTGCGCTCTTTCACACCTGCGCCTGGTCGTCTTTCTGGATTAGCTGCGATGACGTGGCTTGCATGCGTGGCCCTGCCTGGCTTTCCCCCCCTTGGAGAACCGTCGCCCCTGGCCCCTGTGGGACCTCAGATCAGGTGGAGTCCTGGAGAAGTCGTGGAAGGCTGCCGGCACCCCCTGAGCCCCCCGATCCCGTCGCGCATGCGCCGCCTGCCAGCAATTGCCGACGCACAGGAAGTGCTCCCCGAGAGTCTGCCGAGGAGACGAGAAGTGGGGGCCCCCCTGCCCAGCGAGCCCGCGCGCGCGGGGAGGCGCTGCGGCTGCTCGACGAGGCGGAGAGGGAGGGTCAAAGGCTCCTCGCCCGCCGCCTGCCGAGGAGCGTGCGACTCTCCGCACCCCTCGCCCCCTGCCACCCCCTCGGCCGCCCCTCGTCCCACACACCGGTGGCGCCCGCCTCCTCGCCGTCCCTCGCCTCCGTTGGACCCGACTGGACTGTCACGGAGCTCCGCTTGCACGGGCTTCACCCGCACGGAGCTGAAGTCGCACGGATCTCCACTCGCACGGGGCTGAATTCGCGCAGAGCACTCGCACGGAGCTGAATTCGCAAGGACTGATCTCGCACGGACTGAGCTCGGACGGAGCTGGACTCGCGCGGACGACTTTGCCAGTGCGAGTTCAGCCAGTGTGAGTTCAGTGCTTGCGAGGGGAGCTGTTTGCGTGCGAGTTCGGCCGTGTGAGTTCAGCCGTGCGAGTTCAGCCGTGCGAGTTCAGCTGGTGCGAATTCAACCTCGTGCGAGTTCAGCCTGGTGCGAGTTTAGCCAGTGCGAGTTCCGCCTGCGGGCGCGGCTGATCTTACGCGAACAAGGGGGGAGGCTGAAGTCGCACGCATGCTTTTGGTGGGAGTCCCTCGGAGGAGAATATCACATTGGCGAGTCGGGTCAAGCCGATATATTCATAATTGATATGTGAGCACTCGACGAGGATGGTGGCGAAGGCGACGCAGACGAGGACGAGGAGGAGGAGGAGGACGACGACGAGGGCGACCACGACGACGCGAACGCCGCCGACGACGACGACGACGAGAGCGACAACCAGGACTACGATGTGGGTGACGCCGGCGGGAACAACCCTAACAGAATCGGGCGGGCGGACCCTAACAGGTGGGTCGGGACGGGTGGGCGGAACATGAGAGTGTAGGACCTGTCGAGTAGTCCAATGACTCTAACGTTCAAGTCGGGGCGGGCGGGCGGACCCTAACGGAAAGCGTACTACCCCAACGCTGACCCACGCGGCCTGACCCTGCCGCAAATCCCTCACCCTAAACACCCAAGCCGTATTCTGACCACAGTGGCACCCTGACCCAAACCCTGACACCCTACCCTTGAGCCAAATTCCCAAACTTTACAAAGCCAACCAGGTGGAAGCCCCGAACGGGCAGGACAGGCGGGCGGACCCTGGCGGGCGAGTCGGGACAGGAGGGCGGGACATTCAAGTATGGGACCTGCCGAGTGGCCATTTCAATTTCTCGAAGAGGTCTTCTCGAGTTTGGCGTGCGGGTCATTAAAGTGGGGGGCCCTTCGAGTTGGCCAATTGCTCAGACGGTCAAGTCGGGTCGGGCGGGCGGACCCTAACGAGTGGGCCCTAGCACGAACACCCCAACCCAACCGCCCGAACCCGATGCGTCACACCCTAACCCTAACACCATAACCCTAGCGCCCCCCATCCTTCCACGAGCACACGAGCACCCTGACCCCAACCCTCACACTGTACTATCCGAACCTAAACCAAAGCGCCCTGAAGTCACCTCAAATCCGCAACCTAAATACGCTCCCTGAGACCGAACGCATCCCTAACACAGGGACACCCTGCCCTGATTCCTGCCACCCCAGCCCTACCCCCATAATTCAACCCCATAACATCAACCCAACGGCCTCTCTGTAACAGGCAGGGCGGGCCGAGTGTGGGACCAATCGAGTTTCAAAAGAAGTTTCCTCGAGTCGGGCGGGCAGGACATCACAGTGTGGGACCCATCGAGCATGCCAATTGCTCAGACGGTCAAGTCGGGTCGGGCAGGTGGACCCTAACGAGCGGACCCTAGCACGAACACCCTCACCCAAACACCCGAACCCGAACCGTAACACGCTGCCCCCAGCACCATAGCCCTAACGCCCCCCACCCCTCCCTAAACACCCCAGTACCTATCCCCAACCCTCACATCGTACTACCCAACCCGACCCCAAGCACCCCAACCCTACAGTAAAACTGCAATCGGAACATTAATCCGAACACCCAAACCCAATCCCTAACACAGAGGCGCCCTGCCCTGATTCCTGATGCCCTAACCCTTCCCTGGTACCTAAACCCAACAACTTTGATCCATCGGCCGCCGTAAGGGGCCATTTTGGCGGGCGGACTCCACCGGAGGGTCGGGCTGGGCGGGCGGGATGTTAAATTTAGGGGCCCATCGAGTAGTCCAATGAATCAGACGGCTATGTCGGGTTGGGCGGGCGGACTCTAACAGACATTCTTACTACCCCAAACGTGAAGCGGCTTTGCCCTACAGTAATCCCGAACCCTGAACCTCACCCTGAACACAGTGACGCTGTGCCCCGATTCCTGACACCCAGCCCTATCCCCAGTACCTAACCCAGCAGCCTCAACCCAACGGCGGACTCTGACAGTTGGAACGGGAGGGCGGAGCTTGGGCGGGTCGGGCTGGGAGGCGGAACACTGAAGTGTGGGACCCACTGAGTAGGTCATTTCCTGAAGGGGTCTTGTCGGGTCGGGCGGGCGGACCCTCACGGACACCTTACTACCCCGACCCTAAACCCAAGCGGCCTGAACGTTCAGTAAACCCCTCTCCTGAATCTTCACCTTTGCTCGCGAACTGCATCCCTGACACAGTGATGCCCTCATACGAGCCCTGACACCTGATTTCTACCCCCCATCCCCAAACCCTGCCACCTCAACCCAACGGGTTGACCCTGACGGGCGGGACGGGCTGGCGGACCGCAACGGGCGGGTCGGGCTGAGCGGGCGGGAGATCGCGCTGCAGGAGCCAACGCTGCCCCAGGGCTATGGAGGCACGTCGACGACGGATAGTTCAGTGGGCTTGGCAAAAGGGGTACACTGAGCAGGAGGAGGAACCCGTTGTCTTTCTCGACCTCCCTCGCGTCGCCGCGATGGAGAAAGGCACCCTTATCTTCGCGCCCCTGTGGGTGACCTAGCCAGACTGGCTCGAATGACGCTCCTAAGCCATTGCCTTTTCGGTAAACGTGTCAACGTGTTGGCCTCCAGGACCTGGTCAGGACAATATTCTGAAAGCACACGGAACACAACACATACTGAGCGGAGTGCGATGTGGAAAGCTCATGCAGGATTCCGATCTGCAACACCTGTGTGCCTGATGACTGCTACCACGGAGCATCTTGACGGAGACGGCACAGACGGGCGGACAATACCTGACCTTCCCATGCACGGGTGAATGGAACAACCCCAGAGGAACAAGACGGCTGCATCAGCATAAGCTGCTGCAGGCCGGCGCAGGTCTCCTGCGTCGGCGCTGGAACCCCCTCCCTCGCACCGCGCCGCGGGCGGCCTCGCCAGGGGGGGGGACGGCGGTCTGGCGCCAACCCGAGAGATCCGCGCGGACCTCCGACGGTCTCCGCACATGCTGCGCTTTCTAGGTCGCTAAGCTTCGCTCGTCGCGCCCCGCCTCTGCGCGATGATCCTCGTGCTCTCGTGCCGGCCCCACGGCGAAGGGCATCTCTCCGACCCAGACGGCGACGCGCGAAGCACGGCTGCCTTCGCGCCCTGCGGGTGACCTGGGCCTTGTTGGAGGCCCAGGGCCCACCCCCTGCCTCGGCCCTACAGGGGCGACATAATCCCAGGACCACGTGTACCCGTTTCCGGAGCGCGTCCTGGCCAGGATCCTGGGGCGGATCCAGCCTACAGCGAGGTGGGCCCCCACAGGAGGCCCAAGAAGAGTACGAGTCGTCGAAGTCCTGCCTCGTCGTCGTCGTCAGCGTCCTCCTCCTCCTCCTCCTCCTCCTCCCACGTCCTCCTCCTCCTCCTCCCACGTCCTCCTCGCCCTCGACATCAGCATCGTCCTCACCATGCCCCTCCTGCTCCTGTACCTCCTGCTCATTCGACACATGTCCGGAGCAGACAGAGGCCCCTCTCATTTGCACTGCGTATCGGTAATCGTGTCAGATGAATGGTGAACGCCTGGAGCTCGTTTCTGAGTTGGCTGGCTTGGATACAAGAAGCGTGTATCATTTCTTAAAAGGATTGCAACCGTGGCGACGAGTCGGTGCAGAAAACGCAGCAAAAAGCAAATAACATTTCAGATTGTCGACCTTGGAATTTGGATGATCCAGCCTCGGAGTGGCTTTCAGTCCAAGACTCGGGCGGGCCTCTGCGGCTGGTCGAGACGATTGGGGAGACCGAGAACGCTATCGGGCTCAAGATTCTGGGAACAACCCGCCGCCCAAGGAGCTGCTGAACACGCGTGCACTAGACTCGGACGGACTCGACTCGCACGGAGCTGGACTCGCACGGACTTCACTCGCACCGAGCTGAACTCGCACGGAGCTGCACTCGCACGTAGCTGCGCTGAATTCGCACGGACTGGAATCGCACGGACTGATCTCGCACGCCAGGGACCAAAAAACCAGGAGAGGGTAGCATCTCGCGTGCGAGAACAGCTTGTGCGAGTAATGTGCGTGCGAGTCCAGTCCAGGCCGTGCGAGTCAAGTGTGTGCGAGTGCAGTTGCGTGCGAGTCAAGTGCGTGCTAGTTCAGCGTGTGCGCCGTGCGAGTCAAGACCGTGCGAGTTCGTTGTCCGCCCCCTGGCCCCTTCCCCCCTGCCTCCCCCCCTCCCCCCCTGCTCCCTCCCTCCCATCGCTTCCGCGTGGCCCTGCCCCCGCGCCCGCCCGCACATGGGCGCCCGGCCTCCCGTGGACCAAAGCCGCGGCCGCACGCTTCAGCGGGGCGACCGCGGGGGCATCGATCGTCAGAGGAGGGAAAGGTACCGATGCCGCCACCCTTACCTCATTTTCGCCTCCCGGGAGGCCCTCGTCGCCACGGCTGGATTCGCCTCGACATTCAGCTCAGAACGCACCCCAGGAGGGGTCCAGGGAGAGCAGCGGTATCGGCACCTTGTGCTTTCCCCAGATGGGGTGGGATGGGGCGGATGGAGGGGGAGGTAGAGCAGCGGGCAGAGCAGGTACGGGAGAGGGAGAGGACCTGGGAGGGGGAGAGAGAGAGAGAGAGAGGGAGGCAGGGAGAGGGGAGATTGGAGGTGGACAGGCGGATCGGCATCTTGTTGCTCCCCCCGCCGCGGCTCCTGGACCCACAGTGGCCTCCCCCTCCCCGCTTCTCTCCGCGAGTCGCACGGCCAGCGCGCCAGGGTCTCCCTCCAGTCCGACCTCGCAGCCGAGGGCTCCGCGTCCACTGCTGGTGCCGCCTCCGTCGCTCCTCGTCCCTCGCCTGAGGTCGGGTATGACCCCCTACATGCGGCTTTTGGACGAAAAATATTACGTACTCAACAAGTGCCCCAAACTTGATCAAACATAGTCAAATAATCGTCCCCAGACATTTTTTTATAACTATTTTTGAATATTCTTCCTGTAGAGAGGGACGTGCCCGACTGAAATCTCTCCCCCGTAGTCGTCTACGAATGGGTAGTATCCCAAGAAGGGCAAGGGACTCGCCGATGCGAGGCCACAGAGAAAGTGGCTGGTTTCGAGGGAGACCTGGCATAAGACCAAGGTTTCCGTTTCGAGCTGTGTGAGCCTGCCGCTGCTGACGCGTTACCTGCGCACGTCATATCCCGCACGTCCCCACTCCCTCCTTCCATCTTCTCTCCTCCCTCTCTCTTCCGCCCTCCTCCCTCTCCTCTACTTCCCTCCTTCCCTCCTTCCCTCTTCCCTCCTCCCTCCTCCCTCCCGGTTGGCCCCCGCGCCCGAGGCCCCCCTCGCTCGGGCCTGCGCTCCTCTGCGGCCGTGCCCCGCCTCCCCGTTTCGCGCTCCCGACCACTCCCGCCTTCTGGCGAGGCGCGCGCAAGGGGGCGGGGGGGGGGGGGCGGTGGAGGCGGGCGGCCTTCTGCCAAGGCGGGGGGGGCGGGGCTGCTGGGAGGGCAGGGGGCCTTCCTCGGAAGGGGCCCAGGCGCTTCTGAGAGAGGGCTCCTCAGAAGCCTGGGAGGGCTTCTGAGGAGCCCCAGTCCTCTTAGAAGCCCCCCTTTTGCCTCTTTGGTAGGCCGCGCCCCTCGTCCCCCCCCCCTCCCGCAGGGGCAGCGATAGGGGAAGGCAAGGTGGGGGCCCCCCAATCGCCCTTGGATTGCGGATACGGGCCCGATGCGGACTCGCCATCGGGGGTCTATCGTCGGCCCATCGGCTGTGTATCGCCGCGTCAAGCTCGATTGTTCCCCCCTTAGGCGGTCCCCCCTAGCGTTCCTTCTCAAGGGGTGGTTTGAGAAAGACTAGGTCGCGCCAGTGGGCCTCCCCTTCCTGGGGTCTGGGCCGCCCGCGTGCGCGCGAGGCTGAATGTCTTCGCCTACAGCGCTGCGATCAGCGCCTGCGGGAAGGACACGCCGCTCGAGTCATGGAAATGGGGGAGCGATAGTCCAAAGGAGAGAAAGGTACCGCTACCGCTACACTTGCATCGATTTCGCTTTATTGGGCCTCCTGCGAGGCCCTCGTCGCCACGGCTGGATTCGCCTCGACATTCAGCTCAGAACGCACCCCAGGAGGGGTCCAGGGAGAGCAGCGGTATCGGCACCTTGTGCTTTCCCCAGATGGGGTGGGATGGGGCGGATGGAGGGGGAGGTAGAGCAGCGGGCAGAGCAGGTGCGGGAGAGGGAGAGGACCTGGGAGTGGGAGAGAGAGAGAGAGAGAGAGGGAGGGAGGGTGAGGGGAGATTGGAGGTGGACAGGCGCGGTGACAGGGAGAGCGAAGCCCAGGGCCCGCCGCGCCCACTCCCGTGCCCGTGGCCGCAGGGGAGCCAGTGGGAGCTGGCCTGCTCTCTGCTGATTCGCGGGGAGGACCGGCGCGTGGAGGACCCGTGCGCCGCCCTGCGCCCGCTGCTCTGCATGAGCTGCAGTATAGCGTGTTGCGATGTGACGTCACGTGCAGTGGAAGCCCATGCCAAGAAACATCCTGCTTGCCTCCAGGATGCCCTGGGCGTCTTGGGTTTCGATGGTTTTGCTATGGCAAGCGGGACGTTTCACACCAGAACTCAATGGACGCTCTGGGGTCTCAGGGTTGATTTCTTGTAGAAGGTTTCTCGTGGTCGAGCTCCTACTGTAGCGTGCTCGCACGGGGGTGACCCCCACCTCTCGTCGTGAACCAAACACTGCGTAAAGGTTTTAGGCAGTGTTTGGCCTCGGGATGAAAAACCGGCCCCGGGGAAGAGGGCCAGACCTGGGAGTCGACGTCGTGGAACAAAACACGACGTCGGAGCTCCGCTCCCTCCCGGAGACCTGCGCCAGAGCCAACGGCCCCCAGAGTTGGGGCAGAGCGGCGGGAGGCAGCCGTGGTGGCAGTACCGCCCAGGAGGGAGGGCCGATGGTACATTTCTGGCAGACGTCACGAGGCCGAGCTCCTCGGAAGAGTCGGGGGCAGGCGCGGACCAGTGAGGTGTTCGGCAGCCGGGCCCGGGGTCCCGAGCCAGACAGCAGTCAGGGGCACGGCAGGACCGAGGGAGCGCTCGGCAGCCTGCGCACGGCACCGAGCCGGGCAGAGTCGGTGGCGCTCCGCTGCCGCCCCCCCTCATTAATAAAGTCTCTCCTGCCACTCTCTAGGCCTCCTATAGATGGAGTCCGAGCAGATGTATCGCCGATGTATCGCGCCGCATCGCCGATGTATCGCCGATGCGGCTCGATGTGGAGCCCGATTTGCTTCACGTCGACTTCGCCGATGCATCGCCGACGTCGCCGGCGCATCGTTGATGCATCGTCGATGCATCGTCGATGCGTCGCCGATGCATGGGCGATATATCGGCGATCTAGTGTAATCCTACGAGCCCATCTGCTCGGACCCCATCTAGGAGGCCTCCATCAGTATGCGCTTCAGCCATTCTGGCTCGCTCCCTCTCCCTCATCCACCTGTCCTCCATCTCTCTCTCTCTCTCTCTTTTATCTCTCTCTCTCTCTCTCTTTTATCTCTCTGCCTCTCTCTCTCTCGCTCTCCCTCTGGGCATTTTTTTGGCTTGTCGAGATGTTGTCTGTCTGTGGCTGTGGCCGCCCCGCGCACGAAGGCGAACGCCGTGGTGTACAACGCCACCATCACGGCGTGCGAGAGAGGTCCGGGCACGGCCTGCTTGCCAGTGCAGACCAGTTGATTTTTCAAGTGGGAGGGCGCCTATTTTTTAGTGTTTTCATGATTCTGTCATTGTTTCCCTCTCGGTACCCCCCACTGTGTACTGCATCTCTCCCCTTCGACTCTGGTCCCATCGTCGGCGATGCTCGTTCGATGCCGAGCCGCAGACGTTTCGGTTTGGAGAGCCCCCTTGGGGGCGAAACACGTAGCCGCGTTTTACGTTTGATACTCGATCCATTATGCAGGCAGGTGAGTCCAGTCCTGGGCCCTGGAACGGTGCGGGCGTATCGTTGGCGTTGTCCTGCCAGTAGCTCGGATTCGGTGCGTTTTTGGGGCAGTGATTTTCTCCGGCGGCTTGCGCCCTAGTGGACACTTGTCGAGCGATATGCCTTGGACATGGTGGACTAATGATGAGCTTGGCGCTCATGTGGTGCACGCTCTTGTGTGATGGACAGCAGTTCAAGCTAGGCGGATGCACCCGTGGGCATCTGTGGGGCTACGATTTGTCCATCCAACTAACGGGGTATATGACGTGACGTCACAGGGTGGTAAAAGGGGCAGAGAGTTTCTTCGCAAGATGGTAAGGGCATCGAGGGGCAGAGGACGGCGAGGGGAACAAAGGGGGGTGGGTGGGGAAGTGGAAGAGGACGGGCGATGTGAGAATCAGGATGATGGAGCGATGAGGGAGGATGGAGGAGGGGGCAGGCGATCGGAGGTGGCAGGAGGGAGGATGGGAGCCCCCCTCGCTTCGGAGGGTCCGCGCCGCGGCGACGCGGCGACAACCCCAGGTTTGGCCATGACCCAGAATCGGCCGACATCCCGATCCGATCCGCGCCATCGGAATGCCGCGGTCGTTCGGGGTCGAGCGACCCACGCTGTGTCAAAGGCCCCCCCTCGACCCGCTCGTGAGGGCCCGCCCGCCCGACCCGTCCCGCCCGCCAGGGCCCGCCCGCCCGACCCGCCTGCCCAGCCCCACCCCCGTCAGGTTCCGCCTGCTCGATGCGCCCTTTCGGCCGGTCGTCGCAGCCGTCGCCCGCCTCGGCTCGGCGGCGCGCCCCGGGCAGCAGTGGGAGGGGGCAGGCCTCCTTTGACAAGGCGGCGGGGCGTCCCCGTCGTCGGAAAGAAGGCGTCGAACACTTCTCAGAAGGCCGGAGGCCTTCGATCCTTCGAGAAGGCCCGCCCCCTCTGCACCCCCCCCTTGGGCCCGCCGCCGGGCAGCTCCGCCGTCGTCCTCGTCGTCTTCGTCGCCCTCGTCGTCGCCAGCGTCATCGGGGCGTGGCCCGCCGAGCCTCCCCGGGAGCGCAGGCCACCAGTGGCGCCTCGCCACCGAGTTCTTGGGGTCCATGTCGCGGAGGGAGGCACGACCTCGCGCTGCTGGGGGGTTCGGCCTCCCTCTCCGCGCCCCCCCCCCCCTCCCTTCTGCGCGCTCTCAGGCCTCGCTCCTCTCCCTCTCGCCCCGTGTGTCTCCTTTCTCCCCTGCTGCCCCCCTCCCCTCTTTCCCTCCCCCCTTCCTCCTTCACTCCTTCCTCCCCTCTCTTCCCCCCTCCCCCTCCCTCTTCCCTTCCTCCCTTCCCCTGCCTCGTCCCCTCCCTTCCCCGCCTCGCCTCCGTCCTCCCTCCTCCGTCGCCTCCCCCTCCCCCTCCCCCTCCCTCTCCTCCCCTCGTCTCCCACCCCTCCCTCCAACTCTCTCCCTTCCTCGGGGGGTGCCCCCAGAGGACGACCAGTTCATCCTGAACGATTTCATCCGCGAAGAAATCATCTGGAAAAACGTTCTTGAGGACGAACTCGTCCGGATGAAGTTGTCTGGATGACTTCGTCCAGATGAAATTGTCTGCGGATAAACTCGTCTCCGGATGAAATCGTCCAGATGGACTCGCCCGAGTGATCTCGTTCGTATGAATTTGTTTGTTCAGGAATGTGTTCCAGATGGTGGATTGGTCGGAGGAAACATAGAACGACATGATCCAATTCTGATGCATTTTTCCAGATGAACTCGTTCTGGACGAATCGATTTGGAAGAACTTGTCCTGGAGTAATCATTTTGGATGACTCGTTCCAGAAGAAGTCGTTTCAGATGAACTCATCCAAGAAGAACTCGTCTGGAAGAGTTCGTTCTGGATGAACTTGATCTGGAAGAACTCGCCGCGGAAGAACTCGTCCTGGATGACTTCGTTCCAGAAGAAGTCGTCCCGGAAGAAGTCGTCCTGGACGAAGTCGTCCCGGAAAAACCCGCTCGAAAGAATTAGCCCAGGATAATGCGTTCGGGAAGAATTCGTCTTGCGACGCTGACTGTGATGATGGCAAAGGCGATGACGATGCCCATGCTGACGACGACGATGGCAGTCAGTTTTTTTTTACTGCTCGCCCGGCAATACCACGTGGAGAGTACAGTTGAATAGTATGTTTCCTTCCCCGCGACGTTGTGCGTCGAGAAGGGTGCAATTGTATTCTGTTCGGCCCCTGGGCGCTGCCACGTGACGAGTAGAGTGGAATAGGATGTGCTTCCGTCCCTGCGTTGCCACGTGACGTGTAGAATAGTACAGTAGTTGTTCTGCCCCCAGGCATTGCCACATGACGAGTAGAGTACAACAGTACTTGTTTTCGCCCCCGAGGCGTTGCCGCGTGACGAGCAACAGTGGAGCGTACTATTTGTTGATTCCTCAGGCGTTGCCACGTGACGAGCAGAGTGGAATAGTATCCTTTCGGCCCCAGGCGTTGCCACGTGGCAGGCGGGCGCGCGCGCGGGCAGGCGAGAGGCGGGCGTCGTCGTCGTCGTCGTCGTCGCCGTCGCCGTCTTCTGTCGTCGTTTTTCTCGTCCTCGTCCTCGTTGTCGTCGTCGTCGTCGTCGTCGTCGTCGTCGTTGTTTTTCGTCGTCGTGATCGTCGTTGTCGTTGTGATCGTCGTTGTCGTCGTGATTGTCGTCGTGTTCGTCGTGGTCGTGGTCGTGAGTGTGGTCGTCGTCGTCGTCGTCGTCGAAACATGTGTGGCGTCGTCGTCGTCGTCGCCGTTTGTTGTCGTCATCTCCGTCGTCGTCGTCGCCGTTGTCGTCGGCGTCGTCGTCGTCGTTGTTGTCGTTGTCGTCGTCGTCGTTGTCGTCGTCGTAGTCGTCGTCGGCGTCGCTAGGGAATTTGGTTCCCGTGACCCGGGTCCTCCCGAAGCCATGCTTTTTGACGAAAAATGCGAGCTGTTTCGTCTCGCTGCGTGGTCATGTGGCGAGTAGAATGACATAGTCTCTTTTCGGCTCCGAGGCGTTGCTTCTGGTTCGCCCCCCCTGGCGTTGCCAGGTGGCGAGTGGCGAGTAGTTTGGAGTTGCTTTTTCAGCTTCCCAGGCGTTGCCACGTGACGAGGCGGTGTACGAGTGAACATGAATTCGTTTCCGTCCCTCTGCGTTGCCGCGAGACGTGTCGAATAGTGTTGTGTTCTCTTTGTTGGCACGCTAGGCGTTCGTATGCGCAGTTCAGCCGTCGCGGCCCCGCTCCCGGCAGACAAGGGGCTTTCCTGTTCGTCGCCGCCGCCGTTTTCGTCGTTGCCGTGCTGCTGTTGTTCCAATATCCGTTGCTCGGTATCGTCGCTCATGTTTTTTCATTCTCCAATCGGTGCTCGCCCTGACGTCATCTCGGAAGAAATCGTCGAGAAGACTTTGTCTGGAAGAACTGGTCTGGAAGAATTTGTCTGGAAGCAGTCGTCTGGGAAGAAGCCGTCCAGAAGAGTTTGTTGAATAATTTGTGTGGACGAAATTGTCTGGAAGAAGTCGTCCGGAAGAACGTGCCCATAATACTTTGTCTGGAATAACTTGTTCGGGCTAGGTCGTCTCTGAAGAAGTCATCCAGAAGAGTTTGCCTGGCGTAATTTGTCCTGGCGAAGTCGTCTAGGAAGAAGTCGTCCAGAAGAATTTGTCCAGAATTCTTTGTCTAGAAGATCTCGTTCGGATGAAGCGGTTTGCAAGGACTCGTTTTCGGATGGAATCGTCCGGAAGAATTTGTCCAGACGAATTCGTCCAGATGAAGTTGTCTCGGATGAACTCGTCCAGATGCAAGGGCTTCGGATGAGAAGGTAGGCTTTCCCCCCGCCCGCTCGCACTGAAGCGTTCCTCCTCTCGCCCACTCCTTTTGCCCTCCCTCTGCTCTCTATCCTTCCGGCCCGGACGCGCCCGTACGTACATGGGGCAGGCAGAGGCGGAAGATGGAGAAGGAGGAGGTGCAGGAGAGGGTGAAGGGTGTCCACGTTTGGTTCGGTCGGCTGCGACGCAGTCGGCTGCACTCGGTCGGTTCGCTTCTGGCGATTGTTGCGTAACCGCGTCCTTCTAGGGTGCTTTCGGTTTTCCGGTTGCGGTCGGGCTCGGTTTTCGCTCCAGGTTTTGTCGGTGTTTGGTTTGGTTGTCGCCGTAAACGTCTTTACGGAATGCGGGGGATGGTAGGGATAAGAGGGAGGGGAGGGAGGAAAGCGGGCCCGAGATGGCAGCGCGAAGTGGGAACTGATTGCCCACGGCGAGGCACTGGGGGTGCCATTGGGATTTTTCGTAAGCTGGGTCCCAAAGGGGTGCTGGTGGTCGGGAAAGCGGATTGTGTGGGTATATTCGTTGGTGGAGGCCGATGGTGGGTGGGTGGGTGGGTGGGTGGGTGGATGCGTGGATGGGTGAGTAGTTTGGTCGGGTTGGAGGGTTAGTGATTGGGCTGCTTGGATGGTCGGGTTCTTTGGGCTGGGTGGGTGGGCGGGTGGGCTCTTCCATCAGTTGATTCCATGCTAGTATCTCAATACACGGCCCACTTGAAGGGAAACACTTTCGCAGGATTGCGGGCCCCCGAGTGGCAGCAGGATTAGCACAAAATCCCTTCATCAGCCCGCTGGTTTTTCATCCCGCGGGTACTTTCTTGACGGTCTCGCCCCCCCTCCCAATTGCTCGGGCTTCCCCCTCGGCCAAAGCCGCGCCCGAACCCCGGGGCTGTCCCCCCTCCGCCCGCGGCGGGGCCGATGGGGACCACCAGCTGCAGCTCCTGCCAAGGGTGGCTTCTGCCGTGCAGCGGGCAGCCCATGGGCTGCCGCCCCGGCGGCAGCTGCTGGGCCGGAACGCCAAGCGAGACCGTCAGGTTCTCCGAGGTTCGCGGGAGGCGAGGTGGTGCCAGACAGCTATGTCCGAACAAGAGAAGCCTGCACAAGCATAAACGTTCGGAGCGCCGCGCGGATTTCTGGGATCGCCGCTGGGCCCCCTCTGGCGGCGCCTCCAGCGCCGCGCGGAGCTTCGGGAGCTGTATGTTTATGCGGTTCTTTGCTCTTCCAGCTATACGAGCGTGCTTACGAGCGGCGACCCGCCGTGCGCCGACGCGGCGGCGGACACGCCGGGCGGGCATTTCGGGGTGGACGTGCGCCTGGGCGTGCGGGGGGGGCGGCTGGGGGGGCGGCTGGGGGGATGGGTTCCATGGAGGGTTCGCCCGAGCCTTTGCAGCGGTGCTTGCACTGAAGGGTGTGTACACATGATGTCCTTGGAGTTCCCCACGCATGGGATTTCATCGGGCCGTGGGCTCAAGGGTGGCAAATAATCAGCAAGGACAGAAAGGATGACGACAATGATCTCTACGACTCTGCCTCGCCATCCTAGTTCCTCCTTTTCTACTCCTCGTAGCTCCTTGCAGCTCACTGCTCCTGCCCTTGCTCTCCACATCCTGAGGCTTCAGTTTCTTTCATTCCTCGCCCGGACGCATCGCTTCTATGCATTGCTCGTCCTCCTCCTCGTCCTTTCCTGGGTGCTGTCACTAGGGACATTGCGATGGAAGGGAGGACCAACATGACGATGGTATAGGGGGAGGAGAGCGAGGAGCAATAACATAGAGAGAAGGAGAGGGAGTGAGAGGAACGGGAAAGAAGGGTTGGGGGAGTATGGAGTAGGACGAGTACGAGAAACGAGAGTAAGAGTATTTTGTTGATTTTCATGTGTTTGTTGATTTCGGCGTTTTCTCCCCCCCAGCGCCGCCTCCGCCTCTCCCTCCCAGGGAGACGCCCCAGGGGAGAGCGGCTCCCTTTCACCGTGGGGTTCCCGCTTTGGGTTTCCACATTCTTCGCTCGAAGTTCAATCATGTGCAACATGGTCCTTTGCAACATGGGTTTTCGCTCCTTTTCGACATGGGCTTTCGCTTGAGACTTCCTCAGGATGGGGGAGGCAATTCGGTGTTCCTCCCCTTTTTCCTTCGATCTTCGCTCCACTTGTCCTCCTCTGCTCCTCCTCTCTTCGATCCTCCTCCCCTCCTCCCCTCATTCTCGGTCCTCCTCCTCCCCCCCTCCTTACCCTTCTCGCTGTCTTCGTCCCTGTCTCGTTCCTCTTCGCTACTTATCTTCTCTCTCCTGCTCCCTCCTCCCTTGCCTC